AAAAAAAAGCCGTCCTTTAAAATATCAGAGAATAAAAGTGTCGCCCCTGGGTGGACCACCCACTTCACACACGCTTCCTCCTACGCCCCTGGATGCTGACATTCGTAATATTTGAAAAGATGGAAACATAAAAAGCGTTCACAATTTTTTTTTTGGGCTTAACGCTTTCTTCACCACACGGTCACCCAACGCACCGCTAGCGTAACATAAACTGATATGTTTGGTTATTAAATAGCGTAATAGGACTGTCACTGTGTGAGATGCAGAGAGCGACCAAAAGGATTTTCCGATTTTGGCCCCAGCCGAAATCAGACCAAAAGTTTAAAATGACTATCGGCCGAAACCGAAGCCGAAAGCAAGCTTAACGAGACTTTCGGAGAAGAGTGAACCCGAAGGACGTATTTATGTGAGATATGTTCTGGGGGCGTGTCTCCTAGGCAGCCACAACTGGGGCGTGTCTCCTAGGCAGCCGTTTCGTCCCCGTCACTATAGCTTGGTACTTGTGATGCGGTGTTTACGCAGCGGCCATGAGTGACCAGCGCCACTTGGCGTGAAACACTGTTAAGCTCTGGGTAGTCGGCATCTCTGAGGAATCCTTCTGTCAAGGTATCGGTGAAGATTCTCACTTTTCACACCGACTCAAAATATAGGGTCATATTTTTCCCCAGGTGTGGCCGGCGAGGGGAAAACGGGGGTAGGGGGGGGGGGTCACAGTGATCCTCGGAAGGAAATCCACTACTTCCTTTGTAAGGCTCAAAGTCACGAGAACTACCCCTTTGGCGCTCCTGGAGTAGCTGGTTGTTTCGACACTAGGGGGCGAAACATCCCGGGGGAGCTATGTCGCGGCGCCTCCCCTCTGTAAAAGGAGGAAGGGTCCCGTGAGATGGGGTCCCCGAGGGATCCATGCTAGCTTCGGATCGGGTCATCGGCGTATTTCGAAATGTAACATTGAGGTAAAATACTTTTTTTTTGGTGTGTTTGTGTCTGCAAACATCACTGCATTCAAAATGCCATGAAACTAATCTCTAGACTTAGCGCGTGCATTTATGCTAATGAACTGTTGTGAGAGTTGAGTTGTCATTCACGCGGACACATATTGGGCCTGACATAAATCATTGCGGAAATCAAGTTTTTTGGTTAATAATTAATATATAGAATAAATTAAATTCAGACTAAAATTAACAAAACTTTGTTTCTACATAAAACCCAGAAGATAACAGAAATTTTGGGTCTGAATTTCGCTAAGAGAATATATGATTCTTATCTTGATTTTTTTTTTTTTTTTTAATGAATGATATTATTTCGTATGCATTTTCAGGATTGTTTTTAACAGAAATTTTGGGTCTGAATTTCGCTAAGAGAATATATGATTCTTATCTTGATTTTTTTTTTTTTTTTAATGAATGATATTATTTCGTATGCATTTTCAGGATTGTTTATAAAACACAGATAAGCTTCTGCTGGCCGGATTTGGCCCGCGGGCTGGTGTTTGTACACGCTCAGCTGTGCATGAGGTGACGGCGTAGTCATCCACGGGCGCGTCAGCGTCACCTCAATATTAGATTAAGATCAATGGGGTAGGGGGGAGGGGGTGGGTTCCTTTACAATTTTACATAGAGTTACAAGTGATTCTGAGAGAGATGGGGGAGAGATCTAACGACATGATCTATAGAACCATCTAGATCATCCTAAACACGGTGTTTACCACGCTGCTCACTGGCAGGGGCGTTTCCAGGTGTGCTGTGTGTGTACCCTCCAATGAAGTTTTTCGTCTTTTTTGTTTTTTTTTAATTCTAATCACTGGGGTCTTTTGTGACAGACCTTTTTTTTGGCTCAGTACTTTTACCATGTGGGGGAAGGGAGGGGGTGGGGGGATTGGACCGCTTTATGAAAATGAAGCAGGACGAACGATAGGCTAAATGTATGTAAGAGATTCTAATTCACAGATGTTAATCTTCGTGCGAATAGTTATTTTTGGGTAAGAAATGATGCAGACAATTCTAGAAGTCTGCAGTCTTCCCAACTTACTGAAATAGCAGATAATCTTAAAAGCCACCCCCGCCCCCAAGTGTTGAAACACAGACACTGTGTCAGCGGTGTGTCTCTGGTCGCTACACAGACACTGTGTCAATGGTGTGTCTCTGGTCGCTACACAGAACAGACACTGTGTCAGCGGTGTGTTTCTGGTCGCTACACAGAACAGACACTGTGTCAGCGGTGTGTTTCTGGTTGCTACACAGAACAGACACTGTGTCAGAGGTGTGTCTCTGGTCGCTACATTTTAAATGTTGGGTTTTTTTTGAACACCTGTCACCCGTTTATTAATTAGCGGGATGTGTTAAATCAGGGGATCCCGGAAACATGATGTGATGAGACCCTAAAGGAATAGCTTGAGGATTTTGCATTTGCTTTTTGTTTTCTACAGAAAATTATCAACTTCTTGCGTACTTTACATACTAAGCCCTTGTACAAATTGGACATATGTTCCTCTTGACTTAAGAAGTGAGATCCACATGGGATACAGGATTTTTAGAACACCTGTACTACAAACATATGAATATCAAATAATGTTGATGGCAAAGCATTATGATTTCGCCATCGTTCAAGCTGTGTCGGATGTGTGACTCCAATGTTGTTGTTTTATGGCATTCTATCAGACCACTACGTTGGATGAGTGACTACATTTCTTCGATGGTACTGTGTCAGACCACTGTTTTGGATTTGTGACTACATTTCTTTGATGGTATTGTGTCGGACCACTGTTTTGGATTTGTGACTACATATTTTTCAAATGGCGTTGCGTCGGACCACTGTGTTATTTTACTGTGCCAGACCACCGCGTCGGACCTCCGTCTATTGACGGACTCCGTGGTTAGACCGCTGCGTCGTCGTAGCAGCACTGTGTCAGACCACCGTAGGATAGCAACGTGTTGCATTACTGTTCAAGCACCCAGCGAGTCGGGTGTCATCCCCACTTTGTAACAGCACAGCGCCATGCCCGGGACTGTTGACTGTAGAAGCAGGTGAGTTTGGCGTGTAGCGCCATGCCCGGGACTGTTGACTGTAGAAGCAGGTGAGTTTGGCGTGTAGCGCCATGCCCGGGACTGTTGACTGTAGAAGCAGGTGAGTTTGGCGTGTAGCGCCATGCCCGGGACTGTTGACTGTAGAAGCAGGTGAGTTTGGCGTGTAGCGCCATGCCCGGGACTGTTGACTGTAGAAGCAGGTGAGTTTGGCGTGTAGCGCCATGCCTGGGACTGTTGACTGTAGAAGCAGGTGAGTTTGGCGTGTAGCGCCATGCCTGGGACTGTTGACTGTAGAAGCAGGTGAGTTTGGCGTGTAGCGCCATGCCTGGGACTGTTGACTGTAGAAGCAGGTGAGTTTGGCGTGTAGCGCCATGCCTGGGACTGTTGACTGTAGAAGCAGGTGAGTTTGGCGTGTAGCGCCATGCCTGGGACTGTTGACTGTAGAAGCAGGTGAGTTTGGCGTGTAGCGCCATGCCTGGGACTGTTGACTGTAGAAGCAGGTGAGTTTGGCGTGTAGCGCCATGCCTGGGACTGTTGACTGTAGAAGCAGGTGAGTTTGGCGTGTAGCGCCATGCCTGGGACTGTTGACTGTAGAAGCAGGTGAGTTTGGCGTGTAGCGCCATGCCTGGGACTGTTGACTGTAGAAGCAGGTGAGTTTGGCGTGTAGCGCCATGCCTGGGACTGTTGACTGTAGAAGCAGGTGAGTTTGGCGTGTTAAGGTCATGTCAGGAACATCAGGCCTACTTTTTATTTATTTATTTTTTTAATGATACCGTCCCGCCATTAACGACAATGTTCTGGCCTGGACCTGCAGACTTCTTTAATCTATCCCCCAGTTACTGTTTTGTTCCAAGTGTTTAATTTAGAACTCAATCATTATATTTCATTGGGATTTGTTTTTTGTTTTTTTTTGGTCATACGGTTCCACTTATCTACAACAACAAAAATCACACGCTGAACACAACCGTTTTATAAATGTACAACACTTACCTTTCAAAATCATTCTCTCGTTATAAAAAAGAAAGAATTTTTTTTTTTAAATTATTTATTTATTTCTTTTACATTTAATGCCGTTATAAGAACATGAGGTAAGTTCGTGAGTATCATTTTTTTTTTAGAAATTTACATTTTTTGCATTGTTTTTAAAGCGACTTGTTCACTAAAGTAACATACGTAAAGTGATACTCGGAGAACCGCTGGAGCAGGATGGGGCGCTAGGCGCCCCCCCCCCCACACACATTTCACGACCGAACACTTCGGTTGGCGTCCTCGATTCCTCGGACCCACCTTCCTTGAGATATCTGAAAATGACGGGCAGCGGTTCCGCAAACAATAGAAGTATATAAACGATTTATATCTATGGATTTAAATCCATACAATGTATTTATGAGTGTTTATTGTGTTTATCAGGTTCAAAGACACGTGACCCACGATGAGTTGAATCGTGACCACAGTGACCAGTGGAGCCATTTGGTTGGGTCATCCCGGTATTGGACTGTCACGACTGATGCCTTCTAATACTCATCGCTGTTAAATGAGCACCAGAGGTGTCTAGTGCCCATAGCATTGGTGTCTAGTGTCTATACCACTGGTGCCTCGTGTCTATAACATTGGTGTCTAGTAGCTATACCATTGGTGTCTAGAATCTATACCATTGGTGCCAAGTGTCTATACCATTGGTGTCTAGTATCTATACCATTGGTGTCTATACCATTGGTGTCTATACCATTGGTGTCTGTAGAGGGATATAGAAAGATATAGAGTAAGATATGTTGAAGAACGCGATTTCCCATTTTCTTGTTTGTGTTCGCTGTGCCATTCATTAAAGGCTTGGAGAGAATGTCGGGCTACGGATCACTGGACCGCGTCAACGACAGTGTCAACGACAGCGTCAACGACAGCGGCACGTCCGACAACAACAAGTCGAAAAACTCAACCCCGGAGCGCCGCCACCGTCGGCTCAACACGGGGAAGCCCAGGATCCCCACCATCTCCATAGGCGTCGCCTACGACATCAACAACCAGCCCATCTCCGTCAACACGTTCGGCTCCGTCCTGCCGGACGTCAACAGCGAGGTGGACCTCAACACCACCTCGGAGACGGACGTGGAGGACCGGAAGAAGTACGAGCCGAACATCCTGGAGAGGGCCCTCGAGCACACCCTCTGCTACAACCCGAGGCGGCGCGCGAAGGCCTCCAATCTGACCATAGGGCTGCTCTGCACCACGACCGTCCTGTCGAATGCGGCTATCGTCATCATCCTGCCCATCTACACGGCGTCCATGCGAAGAGCGGGTGGGGATGAGTCGGTGGCCCTACTCTCGCTGGCCGCCGTCGTGCCTGCGCCCCTGATTTTATTAACGCTGATGCTGAAGCACGCCTACGACAAGTCCATCACGCTCAGACCGGCGGCGTCGCTGCCCCAGTACACCGTCATGGGCGTCTCTTTGGCGTTGCGGCTTAACATGGGCGCCTTCGCAAGGTAGGTATACAAAAAAAAAAAAAAGTTGTCCTGATAAAATTAACCAAAATACACATACTCAGGGGTGGAGCTAGAGATAGGGCCGCTCGAAGAGAGTCAAGATTTCGAAAATGCCACCGTCTATTAAAAAAAAAAAAAAAATAACAAATGCGCTCGGTGTGGACCGCCGCCGTCGCACCTCACGTTCCTACGCCCCTTTCCTAATAAAATTAACCAAAATACAACTACTCAGGGGTGGAGCTAGAAAAGGGGCAGCTCGAAAAGAGTCAAGATTTCGAAAATTCCACCGTTTATTAAAAAAAAAAAAAAAATAACAAATGCGCTCGGTGTGGACCGCCGCCGCCGCACCTCACGTTCCTACGCCCCTGGACATACATGGACGTCTAAACATGAGACCTATCGTGCTGGTATCAATATCTCTGTATAGTGATCGCTGTTAATGTACGCGCATGGAAGACTTGATATTTATTTCACTTAGCTGAAATGCCGTAAAATCAGCACACACTTAAAAAGCCCACGCATCAATGCCCACACTTGAATTCCGGACACCTCATGTCCGCGCTTACTAGGCTTGCCTGAATCTCACACAATGCCCGTAACCTATAACTTGGTTTATGTCCCGGATGACAATGAAGAAGGCATCAACATGTCATCACATGAAACTGCAATGGTAGGCTCTAGATGACACACTGGCAAAAGGATGGGCGTATATTATATGAATCCATTTCACAAAAATTCATCTCATAAAAAAAAAAAAAGTCTTGATCATTCCACTCACTCCCAATATGTCATTAACTTTCTTCCCACTAATCAACCTGTATATGTCATTACCTTTCTTCCCACTAATCAACCTTTATATGTCATTACCTTTCTTCCCACTAATCAACCTTTATATGTCATTATCTTTCTTTCCACCACTCTACTCCCAAAATGTCATGATGTTTCTTCCCGCAACTCAACCCTCAAAATTGTCAAAATTGTCACGACATTTCCTCCCACCAGTCACCCAGAAAGGACGCCGCCTTCACTTCAGTCAGCATTGTCTGGTGCCATCATACCGTTTGCAGTCATCACGTCTTACGTCATTTTGAAAAAAGGTAGAGTGTACCAAAAGGTAGATTGTACCAATATTAGTGTGTACCAAAATGTAGATTGTACCAATATTAGTGTGTACAATAAGGTAGACTGCACCAATATTAGTGTGTACCATTAGTAGATTGTACCAATATTTGTGTGTACTAATAGGTAGATTGTACCAAAATTAGTGTGTACCATAAAGTAGACTGTACCAATAGTAGTGTGTACCATTAGTAGACTGCACCAATATTAGTGCGTACCATTAGTAGACTGTACCAATATTAGTGCGTACCATTAGTAGATTGTACCTATATTAGTGTGTACCATTAGTAGATTGTATCAATATTAGTGCGTACCATTAGTAGATTGTACCTATATTAGTGCGTACCATTAGTAGATTGTACCTATATTAGTGTGTACCATTAGTAGATTGTACCTATATTAGTGTGTACCATTAGTAGATTGTACCTATATTAGTGCGTACCATTAGTAGATTGTACCTATATTAGTGCGTACCATTAGTAGATTGTACCTATATTAGTGTGTACCATTAGTAGATTGTACCTATATTAGTGCGTACCATTAGTAGATTGTACCTATATTAGTGTGTACCATTAGTAGATTGTACCTATATTAGTGTGTACCATTAGTAGACTGCACCAATATTAGTGCGTACCATTAGTAGATTGTACCTATATTAGTGTGTACCATTAGTAGATTGTGCCAATATTAGTGTGTACCATTAGTAGATTGTACCAATATTAGTGTGTACTAACATGTAGATTGTTCCAATATTAGTGTGTACCATGAGGTAGATTGTACCAATATGTCTGTGTAATAACAAGTAGATTGTACCAATATAAGTGTGTACCATAGGGTAGATTGTATTAAAATTATTGTGTACCATAAGGTAAATTGTACCAATATTAGTGTGTACTAACAGGTAAATTGTACCAATATTTATGTGTACTAACAGGTAGATTGTACAATATTTGTGTGTACTATAAGGTAGATTGTACCAATATTAGTGTGTTTTAACAGGTAGAGTGTACCAATATTAGTGTGTACTAACAGGTAGATTGTACCAATAGTGGTGTGTACTAATTATATTTTTATCCACTTTTCTCCTCAAATAATCGAGATGGTTTTTTTTTCTTCTCAACTTTGAAAGAAATTATTAAAAATCAACCAATAGTCTTACAGATAGATTGTACAGATAGATTGTACAGATAGATGATAGATTGTACAGATAGATTGTGCAGATTGATTGTACCGATAGATTGTAATGATAAATTGTACACATATATTGTAATGATAGATTGTACACATATATTGTACACATAGATTGTAATGATAGATTGTACACATATATTGTACACATATATTGTACACATAGATTTTACACATAGATTGTACAGATAGATTGCACTTATAGATTGGAATGATAGATTGCACTGATAGATTGGACTGACAGCTTGGACAGATAGATTAGACCGATAGATTAGAGCGATAGATTTGACGGGCAACTGACACAGTGATCACTATTAGGTGATTAACAGAAGTGACTACTGGAACATCCTTAAAACACTGCTGCACTCATATATATTGACATCAGGCATTGTCCTGATATAGATGTCCTACAGACATGTGACAACTGACATTGTCCCGATATAGATGTCCTACAGACACGTGACAACTGACATTGTCCTAATATAGATGTCCTACAGACATGTGACAACTGAAATTGTCCTAATATAGATGTCCTACAGACATGTGACAACTGACATTGTCCCGATATAGATGTCCTACAGGCATGTGACAACTGACATTGTCCCGATATAGATGTCCTACAGACATGTGACAACTGACATTGTCCTAATATAGATGTCCTACAGACATGTGACAACTAACATTGACCTGATATAGATGTCCTACAGACATGTGACAACTGACATTGTCCCGATATAGATGTCCTACAGACATGTGACAACTGACATTGTCCCGATATAGATGTCCTACAGACATGTGACAACTGACATTGTCCTAATATAGATGTCCTACGGACATGTGACAACTAACATTGACCTGATATAGATGTCCTACAGACATGTGACAACTGACATTGTCCCGATATAGATGTCCTACAGACATGTGACAACTGACATTGTCCTAATATAGATGTCCTACAGACATGTGACAACTAACATTGACCCGATATAGATGTCCTACAGACATGTGACAACTAACATTGTCCCGATATAGATGTCCTACAGACATGTGACAACTGACATGGTCCTAATATAGATGTCCTACAGACATGTGACAACTGACATTGTCCTGATATAGATGTCCTGATACAGACGTGCCCCTTAACTTAAATAACAATCTTATCCATGACCAGCGAGAATTGCCGTTAGAGTAATCTTGACTTGACGTCATTGACGGCACACATGTCATGACAGTTTAGGAAATGGCGATCTTGGCTTGTCATTTTATTTATAACTTAACTCCTTATAATCCCCAAGGTCATATTAGGTTAACTAATGCGACCCAGCACGCCCCACTACAAATTTCTTCTTTTTTTTTTTTTTTTTTTTAAATTCTACATTTTTAAAACCAGGGACAAAAATTACCAAAACATTTTTTTTTTTTAAAAAAATCAAAAATATTTTTTTTTTTTTTTTTTTTTTTTTTTTTACATGCTACATGTTTAGAACCAGTGACAGACATTAGCAAAACATATTTTTTTTTTTACAAAAATCAACAATAACAACATCCCAGATTTCAGCAAAAGACGTCTGACCTGCTGCTTCATTGCAATGGTCGCCATGTTTGTCGGCACGGAGCCCCGGATATGGTCACTGGATGGAAGTGAAGAGGGGAAGCTATTCGCATCGGAACAGCTGGTGGACAGAATCATGTGGCCGACCATCTTCTCTATGAGTTACCTTCCCCTGGCCGTCTACAACGCTGTCTGCGAAAAGGAACTGAAGAAAAATGTGGTAATTGTTACATGAGTTGTGGTGCTTTAAAGCTAGTTATATGACTGATGCTTTCTCACTACTTTTATGACTGATTCTTCATAGGTAATATATATGACTGATGCTTTATAGTTGGTTATATGACTGATGCTTTATAGTTGGTTATATGACTGATGCTTTATAGCTAGTTTTATGACTGATGCTTTCTCGCTAGTTATATGACTGATGCTTTAAGCTAGTTATATGACTGATGCTTTATAGCTAGTTACATGACTGATGCTTTACAACTAATTATGTGACTGAGGCCTTAATAGTTAGTAATATGACTGAAGCTTATAGTTAGTTATATGACTGAGGCTTTATAGATAGTTATATGACTGATGCTCTCAGGGCTAATTATGTGACTGTTGCTTTACAGCTAATTATATGACTGGGGCTTTACAGCTAGTTACATGACTGATGCTATACAACAAATTATGTGACTGAGGCGTTAATAGTTAGTAATATGACTGAAGTTTATAGATAGTTATATGACTGATGCTCTCAAGGCTAATTATGGGACTGTTGCTTTACAGCTAATTATATGACTGAGGCTTTACAGCTAGTTGGCTGCTGATGCCCGCTGTTCTTGTTTGTTGTGTAAAATGATATG